CTGCTGGGTTTCTGAGTGGCATCACTGAGTTTGTGTCTTTCTGTTTATGTGCCTGTGTGACTGGGTGTGTGTGGCTCCACTTGTGTGTGTCCACTAGTCTGTGACCGCTTGTGAGATTCTGCTCTGGCCTCTCACTTTCCCCTGCTGCACCCCACATGCCTGCACTGTTTACTGCAAGAATGGCTTCCTTCCCCGCTGTCTGGTTTCCCATGGATCCAGCTTCCTGCCCTGTGGCCTCTGTAGTGGACTTGACCTTGGGAAGGATAAATGTGGAAAGTCCCCAATGTGTATCTTGCCTGGCTGTGTACCCAGAGAATTAAAGTGGCGAAGTGAGATGAGGCTGGAAAGGGGGAAAAGTTGGCAGCACCTATCCTCCTCCTGGAAACAGAGATCTCCCCCTGGCCCCTTCCCAGGCCTCCTTCCAACCAACCCCACGCTCTCATTCAGCCCTAGTGATCAGGGTCCTGGTCTCAGTGTTCAGGGCTCGGTGGTGGGCATGGCCGGTCCTCTGCAAGCCTAGCCAGACCTTTCAGGAGAGGAGTTGCATGTCTGCAGAACCTTCTGTGCCGCGGCGTGCTCACTCCTATGCTCCACCCAGACTCAGGGTCTGCTTCCTCTTCCTCCCCCTGCAGTGGACATACACCCCTTTCTTGTCCTCCTGCTCTGACACTTCTGGCTAGAGTCATGGTTCCAGAGCTAAGGAGTAACATGGACTGTGTGTGGCTGGTGATGAGCAGGGGTCCAGCCCCCTCTCATCTGGTGCCGGAAGCAGATCCCTGGGGTTCATCCCTGAGCTCATATAAACTCACTACCCACCACATGGGCTGTGGTACACATGTACTTTCATGAAGTGGTCACGGTCCCTGACCTCTAGGGCTCAGCGTTTAACAGTGTTAGTGACTTAGGAGAAGCTGCCCTCCTCCACTGGGTGGTCAGTTGCCTGAAATTCCCTGCATAGACTTCTGAAATGCCTGCTGGAGAGCTCAGGAAGTCAGGGCTGATCACCATGGTGTTATGGTAGCTCAGAAGGTTAGGGGTGCAATCCAGGGGTCCCAAGCAAGCATCCTGACATTCCAGCACTTCCCACCAGTCTTGGAGTGGCAGTTTTTTTTCTTGTGCCTGCCAGGAAATCTTTGTTTCCTTGTGACTTTACCTTGTATCCTCAGGGGAGCTGGAGGGTGGGTATTGTCCCTCATCAAGAGCCTGCACAAGTCATAGGCTCCAACCCTGTCTTCTCTCAGCTCTTGACTGAGGATTCAGAATCCTGAAGGTTTTG